AAAATGAATAATGCACAGGGAGGAAAGTGATTTCCATTTTATTATTTCTATAAGATATTTCAATATTTTCTCTGAGCCTATAATAATTATTATATGTATGTAAACATGTGGATAAATCATCGTGATAAGATAATGAATAGGGTAGATAATATTGATGTAAGACGTTGAAGATTAATGAAACGATAACAGTTTACGCTTTCGCAAATGAACAATGATTTAACAGAAAAAGGTGAATAATATTAATACTTACTTGATATTTACAAACGGTAAATCTTAATACAATAAAGTCGTTTTGTTTCGCTTTGACAAGGTATCAACAATAAACTCAATAGTCTATAGCTAAATATATAGTTGTGAAATTTCACGAATTCATTAACATAAAAATTGTTTCAGTGGTTGAAATCATGTGTCAATTGAAGCTAGACCACCATGGAAAACCTCGAAGTACTTGAAGCTTGTTTTGTCCTCAGCAGTGCGAATCCACAATCCCGTGACCTCAGCGAGATTCGAAAGCAGGACCTTTCAGTCTCGCGAGTTAGTGCTTATCATATAGACCTATTGAGTCAGCATCCAACGGTGTTAATATCTAACTTCAACCAACCCACGAAATTGACCGACACATCCACCATTGTCTTCAGTGAGTCCCACAATAGGACGAAACAGCCATCCAGTGCTATCAGATTTTCCATGGTGGTCTAGCTTCAATTGACTCATGATCTTAACCATTGAAATTACTAACAATATCCACAAAAAATCCCTTCTAATATAAAAAAATTGTTTTCAACCACAAATCATTCAATCTATGCAGTTGGCCAATATACAGTTATTGATAAGAAAACATCACTGTATATGTAACAATGTAAATCGGTTATTGTATTTAGGAGGTATATAGTTATGTTTATTTATATGTATTGTCAATAAAAATTGTTTTGTAAATATACAGTCAGACAAAATCACTATCAAAATTGCTTTTTTTTCAACTTTGTTTCTACATGACAACTCAAACATTCATAATATTTGAAATATGAAGAAAAAAATATATTCGAATATGGCTAAATCATTACTGTCTACTTTATGTCATATATAGTTTATTGTAAAGTAGATATATTCAACATAATAATGACATATAGTGTATTTCATAAATTTCTATTATTGACGTCGGGAATCAATTTATTTTCCCCTTTCTTTCAATCATCTGTTTTATAATGTTAAACATTATTTCAAGGGAAATTTACATATTCTATGTACATAATTGTAATCATATATGAATAATTGAATATAAGAACTGTAACAGTTAAACATTACAATAATAACTATCTTTGATAGATAATGAACAATACAGATAGTATCGATCGTAACTGAACAGGTTTATGTCTGACATATTAATTTTTTCTTTTGTTGTTGTAGGGCGATTAAACTGCTGAATATGAATGATGTCAACTTTAGAAATTGTCGTTTGGTTGTGTCAAAGTTTAATTTTGATATGATCATGAAAAATCCATAGTATATAGAGGAACTGTTGATGAAGTTTACATGTACAACAACAACAACAACTACTACTACAACAACAACAACAACAACTACTACTACTACTGCTACTGTAGTGGACAAGAACACCCGTGGGGACAATCGAATTTATTTAAAATGGCTCAGACTTCATTGTTCTTGCATTTCCATACAAATTGCATTCTGTTTCCGTTCTTTAATGTTCGATCCTCTTGTCTCTGCTGTCAGACCTTCTGTTTACGACTAACATCATCTACTACTTATGTCAATATAAGTAGCACACACCACACTACTACTAAAATAGATCAGTATTGAAAGCAATTATTTCCTTTGATAAATTTCGATAATGTAATAAGAGGAAGACTATTTGAACTATGTGATATATTAGGCTAATGACCTAATCGAAAACATGTTACTTTATAAGAGATATGTGGATGATATCTTCGTTGATAGTGAATGAAATAAGGATATGTACTGCTTATTAAATAAATTTAGCACTCTTCATAATCATATCAATTTCTCATGTGAAGAGGAGAAGAACGATCAGCTTCCCTTTCTAGATGTACTTCTGAGTGGACGAGAAGATAGATCAATCAAACGATTACTAATACAAATTAGCCTGAGCGCTGATAAAAATGTTCTATAATTCTTATGTTTTCATACGTGAAAAGCATATAGTCTAGTGCATGTTGCACGTGTGTAAGACGTAAAAAAGGAGTACTTTCAAATGACTACGTTGTCAGTTTTCACATCACGCTAAACGGATATGATTAATCTGTCGAGTATCATGTCCAAATAATACTAACATACAAATTACAATAACATCGTCAAGCATGTAACTACGTCATACAAGTGTTACTATTTTTTATTCTTAAAAATGTAATTGTTACAGTGTAATCGGTTTCGCACAGTCACAGAATTTTTCATGCCGACTGTTTCTGAATACATAAGAACGATGTCGATTCGGATATCGGAAATACAAGAAAAGGAACAGATGCAACAGTAAAAATAGGTCATGGATACTTAACATCATATGCAATAACGGCTTAACTGTCATTGAAAATACAGAAAATGTATATGCAATGATAACGACGGTAATTTATTGATACAATTTGTATCGTAATTAAAAGTGGCAACAGAAATCAAATTTTGCGTGGCCCTAAAAACAGCCTTTGCTTGGTCTATTCGTTCCAACTACTTATTCATTCGGACTGAGCAAGATGGTATGTCACACGGTGTGTTGTCATGGTCATCTTTGTCTTTGTTGTCTTTGTTATTGGATTCTTCCGAGTGTATTGATAAATGGTTATCACTAGCGGCGCTGGAGAGTTTGTTGTCTGATGGCACCCACCTGGCAACAACTACAGGATAGCTTTGGAAACTACCAAAGACAATTATGCCTGGATATTTCTTTTTACCCATCCACATTTCGAGTGAATAGCAGACGGAAGAATAGTTCTAAAATTATAGATCGCAGCCTTTCAAACTACAGTTTAAAATTAATCTCACTCAATTAATAAATTACGCTTTTTATGACATTGCGAACGACTTTTATGTAAGGCCTCTGACTCTTATGGAAATCAGAGTCAAGAATGGTATAATGGTAGTACGTCACCTTTTTATAATTTATGATGGCGCTCTTCAATGCTTTAAACGATTAGAACATTATCAGATACAACGTGTTCAAGAATACGTGATCGGTATTCATAACAACGTCCGAAGCAACAGAGCCAATACTTTGTAAGTTATTTACGTTAATCGTTTGACGGAAAGGTGATTGATCGAGGAATATTTACCCTATATATTACTTTTTAGAAATATGTAACCAATAACTACCATTTTAAAACTAATGATTTCATTGAACAAACCGGGGAGATTTGAAGATGAGATGAAAACATTTTTATCACAGTAAAATACAAAAATAATCGTGTTATGAATGATACTTGTTATGGTTAGTGATAATTGATAAATTCCGTGAAGTGGATGTAGTTATTGAGTACAACAATCGTACAAATCCGAATACTGGGCTTTTATTGCATCTAATAGTATTTTGTAATATAAATTGGTCTTAAACTTTATGTTAATATGTTTAATTAACATTTCAAGCAACCATTTTTTTCTCTACCAAACCAGCACTTACACAACAATTCAAGGATAGATGACCGATGGTGGCTACTTTATATGAGTATATTAATTCATCTGCTTCTGTGGAGTTAGTTACATAGGACGTACTCAAATGGTTCAATCATTGCATGTTCGTGAACATTTACCCACATGAATTCGAATAACAGCACCATTCATTCTCACATAGTCGATAGTAAACACCATATCAAAATATTTGAAGCTTTCTTTGTTTTATATATCAAGTTCCAAACAATCTACCTAAAGGAGCTACATTACTACTTGTCTAGTTAGCTGACGCCAACTGAATCAACTCCAGAAAGCCTTATTTATTTGTCCAGAAGATGTATATCCAGCCTCTACGTTGACATTGATTAAAGATTGGAACGCCAGTTACCTAAACTTGTAATTATAAACCACTTATTCCATTCTCAATTCCTGGATTACATAATCTACGCATTCTTCTTTCTCAATTCACATGAATGTTTCTTTTCATCGTAATTACGTTGGAAACACTTCTATCATTACATAATATATTGACAAAACTGACGTTGTGTCAATGGCGCAGGCGCTTCTACTCTTTGTGTTCTCACAAATTCTAATCTTCTGAATTCTTCATGTCCCTTTTCTTCTCCTTCCGAATTTATTTCACTGGATTATACTCCATGAATAACATCTTCAAACCCTTATGTTTTTGATTATTGCTCATACTCTTACTACCTCTACCACAACGGGATTTGAATCGACAATTGTATCTCTTTGCTAACGTGGTATGGCAACTCGAACTGATGTACGTACGTACAAAGTTCTAAGTTGTTGCTGACTAACTGACTGACACAACGTCATTATTATTATTAGTAGTAGTAGTATCATTATTACCTCAACTAATATGTATTTTGAAGTGTATATATCGTAACAGATGTGACATTGTCAACATCATTTATGAATGACTTAGTTTGTCATAGTTATTAACTTTAAACTGTAGAACCTACTGAAATGAAGTTATTGAAAACAATTTTTCTTTTAAATATTCTTTAATTTTTTGAATATTCAATGAAGATCTGGAGACTACTGATTATGTTATATTCAAAAGAATAAACAAAATATAAGTTTTATCAAAATATTTAATCAATTAAGACTTCTACAAATAATCAATAATGAATTACTAATTTTAGTCTCTTTCTAAAACTTTTCACTTCCAAATTTGTATTGATCAATAAAGATGTTCAATTATGTCGTGGTGATTATTTAACATTCAACATGTTTATTATGAAAATGGTTACAATTTAGTGATTTCAGTTCCTTTGGATGATCTCATGTATATCAAATTATAATCCATCTAATGTTTTTATTATATAGAATGATTTAGATACTTGTTAAAAAAGAATACAAAGTGTTATTATTATTATTGAGGATATTCATGTTATTTTCCACCTTTGATTCTGTTGAATAAATTGGTCAGTCTGTTTTTTATATCCAGAATACCTAAGAATATTTTAGTACCCACTCCAAGTGGTTTCTGAGTAGGGGTTGTTGCTTCAGTACTATCTGAAATTGATTAAAAATCAATGATAGAATTATGTATAGTGATAGTAATTAGATTATTAATTACAAGTTTATAAAACCTACTGTACAAGATAACATTCATGAAAAGGATGTACACTTTCATGTTCATCATTGAGCTATGGTAAAATATATATCACATTTGTTTGTTGTAAATAGTATTAGACTGAAGATGTTTCAAGTTGTTTACAAATGTTACATAGTATCACATCTGAGAATCGATTAAATAAGTTGAATCTATGTATCAATCATTTGTAATTAGGATTAAGTTACTTATCTATAAACACCAAGACAATTAGTTCTATCAATAGATAATTAAAAATGTGAATAAGAAAGTGAATTTTGATTTCGGTCGAACAATTGGAACATTTTTCATGACATCAGTACAAGTATTAGCTGCACATTAGAAAATATATTTTTATCAATTATTGTTACATTTAAATGGGAAACAATGGCCCATAAATAATAATAGTAAAATTCATTGAAGGCTTCGCAGGCATATATAGATCTATTTTAACAAGACGATAACTATTTTCGAACTATTTAATTTCATGCGTCTTTTTTATCAAGCTACATCATTACAGTTTGTATAATAAGATTATTTTAACCGAATGAAATAATTTGCACTAAGACAAACGGGAATAGTAAATAGCATAATCTAGAAGTTAGTTACAGAATATAAAATACATAGTTATGAGGTGATTTTTAGTGCACCATAAGTATTGAAACTGTATTCTTAAATGACATTGGTTATCGATTTTATAATATTTAACGAAATATCTTTACAATACCACTCGCAACAAAAATGGAATCGTCTGTATTTATATTTGAGCAGAGGATATATTGAAGTATCAACTCATCAACTATAATAGGTGAAAGTTGACGATCATATTGATAGATATGCAGTAATGATATTCATATAGACTACTGGCACTGGTATCGTGTAAATTATTGGAAACTAATAATATTTCAATTTCGCACCCAACAACATTATTCATCAATTTATTTCTATATTGTGTTCTGATTTATATGACAGGAAATAGTGTCAATTTTACAGTTGGATTAACATATTTCAAAAAATATAAAATAAACTTGCAACTAGATAGATTCATAGAAACCTGAAAATTATACACTGATGGCCTGGAATAATACTTTAACATGAAATACTTAAGAAAAATCATATAATGAACCTGATTGGTCGGTCGATGTTGATGTTGTCACCGTTTGTTTAGTTGTCTCTACAAAATTGTTAGGAAAACATGAAAGTACAGTTAACAAACGAAATAAATTTACTCACATGAAAGAAATGTAATATCTTCCTTTATTTTAAATATATTAGAACACAGGTTACGTAATGAATGTGGTATTACATGGAAAACCTGGAAGCACTGAACGAGATGGCCGTCCAGTGCTATCAGGTTTTCCATGGTGATCTAGCTTCAGTTGACTCATGATCTCAACTATTAAACTTATCTATCAGTTTAAAGTATATGAGTTCCAATTATTATTTTACAAGTGTACTTCGGTGTTAATCATTGATAGGTTATGAAATAAATGATATTGATGTATGATAGTGTGACACTAACATTTTACTTATATTTACGATTCATTGTTTTGTGACAGCACCACTCATTTGTTAGCGATAGTTGTAATTGCTCACCGCATATGTAACTAGTTTTGTAATTTGCAACATATAGACTTCGTGTTTATTTAGTTACTTAAGTATAATTCGGTCAGCTATCTCATCAGTGTATGAAGTATTCGAATTACGAGATTGTAGACACTGATAACATGTAAAGTGCATCACACAAATGTGACTATTAAATATGTATGAATTTGGTTTTAAATACAGTCATTTGAGACACTCGTTAAGATACCTGTGTTGATTAATAATTTGCAGATAACAAGTACCGAAGTATGATAGATGCTTAACAAGTCACTATGAATCGGTACAAAACTCTTTGATGTTGAGATGATGAAGAATTATCCAAAAGTAAAGGGTCACATATGCTTGCTGAGAGGAAACGCAATTATTATATCATAGCAAATAAAACATTCAATATCAAATTATAGAACAATAATGACTTGGATATCTCCAACTTAAGAACGACTTAGTGTACATGAAAACAATATTCTCTTCTGTAACGTTTCAAGTACAAACAAAACTATTGTGTCTTTCTCTAGTTTATCATATGATGTACTACATTTAAATAAATATTCGAAAGTCGATACACTCACCGGATGGATTTTCCGTTATGTAAATCCTACAGAAAATAAAGAACATCCATTAGTGTCACTCTGAAGAATGGAACACAATAGTTGTTAATTTTTGTCTGCAAAAAAAAATGCTAGTACTTAAGGTGTTAAAAATAGAAAGGTTTTTTGCTGTGAATATGTGTTGGCAGAGTGAGGATTTTCTATAGTTCATGATAAGGAATTCAGAAGTGTTTGTTCTATGTGATGGATGGTATACACGTTACATTAGTGGAACATATTTTCGAAAAGAATTTATTAGTTGGAACCCTTCTTCAATTAACCAGCAGCTTGTTTTGTTGACTAAAATCATCCAGTCTATCCAGTGATTAAATCTACAACCTACGTATTGCGCTCATACCACACATTTATTATCATTAAAATGAACCAGTCGAAAGGTGCTTACAACTCAATCTCGATCATCTTTAATAATAAAACATATATGAATAAGATGAGTAACAAATCGTCATTCTTAGATGTACTAACATCAAGTACAATACAGGAAAAGTTGACATGTACATGCATGATAAGTTAACTCATAGTGGTCAAGTAATCTTTTACAACAATAATAACTATATGATTGACCAATAAAGAGCATATAAAGCCTACTGAATATAGTAAAGCCAACATAGTACCATTATAAATGCATGACAAAATGAAAGTAAATACCTACTATGTGCATTACAGGAAACCGACTAGCCACTAAACGTCACCATCAAGTGTGTATCAAACCGACCATTCAGTACGAAATCAACAGCAAAAATCAGCAAACGGATAATTTTACCCTACATAGTTAGCATAATCCAGATCATGCAACCATTAGTGGGGATCTTAGGATAATGTGTAGTACATAAAACTGTCATTCACAAACCCTGGCGTAGACCTCATCTTCTACGCCATAGGGTGCCTCTATCATGAGCGTTCTCACTTTACTCATAAGTCAACAATACCTACTTGTTGTCTAAAGGAATCGGTACACCGAGTATTGAAGACGAAGGTATATGCAAACAGGCGAGATAACAAGTTTTCCACATAAACAAATGGTGAGATGCTTCGAGAGTTAATATAACCTTGGTGATGAGCTTAAACAGCCATACAAAGAACCCACATGAGGACTTCGTGAACAGTAGACACCGATCGAACTGGTTTCGGAAAATTTAACTTGAGATATCTGTTAGGAAATTGAATGCCTCTGGATGTCATCAGAAGTACAATCCGTGGAGACCCGGAAAAGTACTTCATGAACACAGGCTTTTATTCGTGATGGTGGGCATGGAAGTATTACAGTTTACAGGAGTGTTGTCGTCTGTGTGGATAGTATAAATGTTGGGGAGGTGTGTGATAAAATTATTTGATTAAGTAAAGCTCATCGGTGGTACTGCTTAAAGAACGATGATACCTGTTACTTCTTAGCAACCTACGTCGTGTAAAGACAATGTTTTCTGTGGTTGCCTGGTACAAAGAGTCAATTGCTGAAATACTGACAACCTGAGAGCCTGATTTCATCTTCAAAAGATAATGGCTTGGGGAACTTCAGACACCACCTATTTACGTGGCACGCTCCGTATCATAGTTATACTAGAAATCCCCCGGACAAGAGGAGTTGTATTATTTTACATTTTTAGATGACACCAACCACAAGCATACTGATCATAAATAATAAACACATGACTGCCACTAAGTTTAAGAACAGCTTCTAGTAATAATTTTCTATCAAAATGTACATTTTATGTACTCGGACACACCGAAAAACGTGGCTTGGTAAAGCCACAAAGAACACAAAAATGCCCTCATTCCATATCGTAATAGCAGCTTCGACTTATTATACATGTGTTATTAAGTAGTAATTAAGTGCATTATTATAGTGCATATTGGGAGTGTTTTCTGTTGAAGCATTTAATTAGCATGATTGTGTGGTGAAATATATTCATAATTCGAATTGGCATACCATAAGATCATGATATAATCATAAAATGTTTCATTTTGACAAAATACTTACGTCCCATTACACTTCAGTTCACATTCTGTTTTACTTAGAAAGTTGTTTCCATTTCCAAAACACCCACCGTAATAAAATACTTCACACGTTTTATTTACTCTGTTGTAGTAGAAACGTTTTATCAGAGCTCTGCATATGCCCTCCTCATAATCTAAAATGCAGACTGAGCTTCCTGGAATATAAATAAAATAAGTGTTTCGTTATTAGGAAGATATCTTGTTACTTTGGCTAAGTCAGCAATAATTTAGGCGTAGATTTCATTTGAAACTGACCAGTGCTAATCATCAAATAGGAATCGATAAAAAAACTGTTGTCGACAAACCAGTAGTATTGAATATCACGGATATCTAGTAATTATTGCTTATTAAATTCGGAAAGCTAGTTCGAAGTGTGGTCATCATTATTGGGTGTACGGTACTTTGATATACGATGGTAGGGAGGCTAGGATCAAAGACTCTATGAGTGCTTTACGCCACTGGTCATCTGTCAAGAAGACATTCCTGTGATTTCAGTGGAACTGGTGTATTTTGAAGTATCAAGAGTTTTGTCACTCAGTCTCACAATCAGTAAAGTTATCACTGATCTCTTTGTTAGACCATGATTGTCTGAACCAATGAAGAACTTGTATCCAGAGTTTCCGGTCCACTAACGTTCACAGTTAAGACCGAACCCCTTCTGTGAAACGTTTGATTGTTTTATAGTGTTACACTATTTATCACCTGTACAGTTGGATCCTTAACAAATCTGAATAGGTCTCCAAGGTGAACTGTCAAATTTGTTGTACACTTGATTTATGAATTCGAATTAGCATTAGTGACTATGCACAAGCATTTTCTGATCCTTTGGTGACACAGACTCTTTGAGTATTAACATTTATTGTTGAATATTCATATTACAAATCGATTGACTTTTCCATGTATGTTGAGTAGTAACACAGAATAACACTCATTTTTAGTGTAATGATACATTATCATCAGTAGCTTTGTAAATTGTAGATTACGGTAGTAATTTATACAATAGCTCACAAGTCCCTAATTCACCCACTAATTTAATGTAACAGCAGTTTTGGATGATAATTATTCAGAAGCCAATTCACTTATAATAAGTGATAATTATTCACTTTAGTTCATTCAAATAAATCAAGCAAGTTGTTCTTTATTTACTGAATATTTAAGTACTGTAGACTTGCTTAGAAATTCTAATCATTGGTGTCACCTTCAAGTAATTTCGTACATTTTGTCAATAATGATCGGAAAGGAAATTTCAATAAATGCGCTCCACACTACATTACCAGCCTTGAAAACTATCTATGGATTACCATATGATACATATTCATAATTCACAATCACTTACCTTTTCTAAATGATGTAACACTTTGTGCACATATAAGGAACAATATTCCGTATAAACAAAAAGAGGACATCTTTAATTATAGATTATGTTTCACCTTTATATATACCATTCCAAATTACCTTTGTTTACATAACGAATAAGTTTTAAACTGAGTGGGTGTATACAGTAGCAATATGATTCATATGTATCTGATAATCAGTTTATTCGATGATCAACACTATTCATCACATGCTCCTTAATAGCGTAGTGAACCGCGTATGTATCCATAAATAAATACAAGGCTTTTTCTGAATGGCATTAAAAAAACTTTATTCAATATGGACCACCTAATACACATTTGCAAAGTATTACTCCTTTTTTTTCATTTACCCCACACACATTGCATATAACCGTTCTTGTATATGACATACTTTCATCAGAACACGTTTACGATATGAGATTGATTTTCACTGAACATTTGTATATTGGGAAATATTATCAAGTAATGCTTTGGTATCGTCAAGATGATGCTTCCTTTTTTCGATTAAGCAAATGGTGTTGGTGGTTGATGGTAAAAAATCATAGGTGATTCGAAGAGGCGTTTTGGCAGAATAATGTACGCTTAACAAAACCTGAATTACTGAAGTCTCTGATTCAGATCAAATTAGGGCATGAGAGATTTATTTCGTGAACAAATCAGTGTTAAAATAAAAATTCAATGATGCTTAAACTAGAAATAATTAGGAAATTGGTCATAATTCAAAATGAAGTGATAATGTAGAGAGTCTTCGTTGAAGATACGGTTTTGGACTGTATCGAATGACGAATTAACTAGTACTTTATGAAAGCTGTTTCATTGTTTTATAATGATAAGTGTCAACTGTAGGATATTCATTGAATAAATAAATAAACTATAACTTTCGTCGCATAATGTGATGTTCAAAAGTGTGGAAACGAATTCGTTCATCATTCGCTGATTCGGCCAAAGAAAAGATGAAGGTATTAAAAGATTTATCATAAATACAAAGATTTGAATTGTAAGTTCCGGCTACCATAGCTTCTGCCATGTGTAAGAGACGAGATCGAATGTCAAAAAGGAAAACTAGTAGGAATACGATAAATTGCTTTAAATGACCTATTTCTGTCTATCACATGACTGCCATCGATCAAGTGTAATAGAACTGAGCTGTGTTTGATTTTGACGATACCCTTTACTAATCACGAAGGAAGGCGTTCACTAACTCATTGGCTTAGTTGTCTGCTTGTGCGGCCAATATAGCTTTCTCCACAGGAGCAGCTGAATTCATAGATACACACAAATGTAACAGAACTAGGTAAATTATCCTTTAGTTGAGGAATCATCATAGATCGGGTCGAGAGCGACAAGCAGAGGTTAGCTGCACTGAAAAGTCTTTTCATTGCTCTAGTTAGTCTATCCCGTATCACATCACCAATTAAATCTCCATTGAATTGCACTTTTAGGAAGAATGATTTCTTCCTAGGCGGTGATGACGGTATTTTCCTGTTTATGCAATGAATGTATTCTTCTAGAAAACCCTGTGTATGACCAATTTCAATCAACGCATTATGAATAGGCTCTAGTCTCTCGTTTACGGTGTCGTCTGTGCATAACTTCCAAGCTCTATTTGTAAGACATCTAACTAGGTTTCTCTCCTAGTAAATGGGTAAAATATTCAAGAAATGTGTGTACTGATTTGCTGAAGAACTTACCTATGCATACTTCTAGTGATAGAACTATTTTCTTTTCTATGTGAAAATTATAATTGAAATAATCTCAACGACTGAAATATGACATGTACATCGATGATTCAATAACAATTTTATCAGCAGTTTAAGTGTTGTGGAGATTGTTAAGTTTTTGATTGAAATCATGAGTCCATTGATGCTAGACCACCATGGAAAACCAGTGCTTCCAGGATTTTCATGGCAGTCTAGCATCAATTGACTCATGATTTCAATCAAAACAATTTTATCAACCTTGAACTTGCACTTTTATTTATTTATTCCTTCATATATAACATATCGATACAGAAAATAAATAATTAATCTCACACATACAAACATACCTACACACTCACATACATACAATTTGTTATTCAGTTGATTGTTTCCATGTAGTTGAATTGTTTCACATGAATTGTAGTTAACTAACTCATTTTATCTTATTTTACGAAAATCAACATCCATATTTGATTGGTTTAACACAGTATAATTCTGATTGTTAAATTCTATGTATTTCTTTGATGATTTTGATTATATTACCCTGAAGAAGTCCAAACAAGTTAGCTGGACGAAACTTTGGAATTATTAAAATTTCAATCGCTGAGATTATTTCAAATATAATTTTGCACATATAATGACTTCTCTTTACTCGGTGTTCAATTTCTGTCAAACTATTCGTTCTAATCTCGACGAATATTCGTGTAAATTATTTTCTTTTCTGTTTAACAACATGCCAAGGAAATGTAATCTATTATCATGCACCTCTTTACACGTTAATTTGATAGATGAATGTTTATTGTTGAGTAGTTCTAAGAGTTCTTCTTTTCCATTGCTCTGATCTACAGTAATGAAAGTATGATTAATGTAATGGCAACAAGAGTCAAATTTATCCATAACCTTTTTAAGAGGTTAGTTTTATAGTTTTGCGAGAAAAAAAATCAGCGAAACCATCGAATTGAAAATAGTGGAAATTACTATTTCACAGCGTTTCACAGAACAAGCTGTGAAATGGAGAAATTCGAACACTTCACTTCTGTCTGAAGTTTGTGCTGATGATGTCTTTCAGAAGAACGATGAAAGCTCCACGACCAAACCATCCAGCTCAGAGAACAAAACTCCATCAAAGTCATCCACCTGAGCTACAAATCTTCTCCACCATCTCTTAATATGATATTTGTTATGTGAATGAGAAATGTTATGAATATTTGTATACTTTTGGCATGTAGCATTTATCTAAATATCCATGTATTTAATTCCGTTCACATTCTGCATCACCAGTAAACATGTTTATCAAAGCTTATTCTTCCACACAACAAACGTTACATTTTCCGAGCCTACTAACACGAACACATGTGCACATAGTGATGTCTCATACAGAATTAATTTAGACCAAAAAATAATTCACATGTTGTCGATACAATCAGACCTACTTTTGTTTACGTTTAAACATACATTTTGTCTTTTACTCTCCACTGTTTAGACTTGTGTTAATTTCGATTGCTTTACACCAAGTCAGCGAACGTTAGAAATTTTAATTTCTGTTCATTGGGAAATTAAAAGTACACCATCATTTTGCCTAGCTCTTCCTGTTGAGTTCAGAACACTAATCTCAGCCTCTGAGATATGAATCATGTATTTCAAATTTACTGGGTTTATATACAGACCAAACAGACCACACTGAACCAAAAAATAGGAAACAACATTTGTACAAGATCTAGACAAATATGGATGAGAATTTGAGAGACTATAATTAATAGACTAGGCACAACTCAAAAACGGTAAATCTTATAATAATAGTCTGTGGGTCAAAATAAAGCATTTAATTAGAGAAACATGAGTATGCATAGTTTAGCTACTTAATAATTATACAATAAAAACATATGCGTCGTTTTGGTCCATAAATAATTCTCAAAATTTACCATTCAATTAATCTCGTCGGGGTATAACAGTCTCGTGGAATGAACTGCTGAGGTCAGTAATTTAAGGTTGAGAGTGTTAAGATAAAGAATATCAGGGTTGGAAGTTTCAGGGTTATAAGCTACACTTAAGACGTCTTATGGTTAGGAGCTGGGGTTAATGTGTATTATATTCAGGAATGTTGGAATTACAAGCAAGATTTCAAAAGTAGTAGAGTTAGAAATCAGGGTTTATAACTTTTGACGTCGGAGATGGGGGAATGATAGGTAAGGAGTGATATCTTATAAAGTTTAGGGTTAGGAGCCTTTATCTCTAACAGTTTGATAGTTTTGTTTCTAACGATATAGGGGTAGGAATCAGGGTCTAGGATGTTTACAGGACTGATTTTTAGCATTAGGTATCAATATTGACGTGTGGTAATCAAATAAATTTGGTTGGTCACTGAGTGTTTGCAAAGAGACCGATGACTTATGTACTATTGAATGTTTCATGCCATTTCCTCCAATCGGTTTCTACTCCGGACTCAATGTGTGTAACTCCTCGTCATTGCGTGAAATACAGTATTGTATAAGATCATTCTAATTCTCTAATATTGCCCGTGAATCGGATGTCTAGCATGATGATACTTAGTCCCTGGATAGTGTTTTGCTCGAGTATCCAACCAAGCGGTATTACAAACCCGGTTATCCCGTCTGGTTCCATTACAGTATTGTAGTACCAGTACTGTTGATCGTTGGAAGAACAATATCTGAATTCATCAATTATATAGGATATTTAACGGTTTAAGGCGCAATAATTATGTCAAGACTTTCAGGCTTCTGTGTTTCAAAATCTTTTCATATGTGTGATATCTCACAACAAAGCTTTAATCGGTCGATTTTAGGTTTATTATTTGAATTCTTCAAAACCGCAGTACATTACCACTTCACCATAAAGTACAGTAAAACAAATAATTTTATCAATTTTTTAACTTTGATGGATTATGTGACGTGTTTGCATATATTTCAACCCATATTTCTGATAATATAAAGCAGATAAACCATAATTCTTGATTCAGAAATTAGATTATATTAAGAGTCAAGTGACTTATAGTATCTCTTTTATCGAGTTACAAGGGATGACCTATTCTAAATGACATAAAATTTATGTAGGAAGACAATTCATCATATGTATTATCATATGTATAATAAAGTATAATGATAAAGTCAGTGAGATTATCGTATTTATATTAAGCAAAAAGGGCTTACAATAATGTCACTCGAGAGTTCAGACTGTCAATTGTATACGTGTGAACCAAAATAGGAGTTGATGTAGCTTCAAATAACCACCTAATTGTGGCCGACATGAGACCGAAGCCAAATATGCACTGAACATCTGCACAAAAGGCCTTACACTGGTTTAGTATATCCTACCCCTGAGATCCTGACGAAC